CACAGGATGCATATACGCTAATAAGAGAATGATCAATTCCAATCCTAAATAACGATGGGAAGATACACGTAAACAACATCAAAGGAAATTAAAAGTGTAGTTTTATTCAGTTACCATTAACTGAATATTTAAATCAAATGAAAGCATTCAGACTTTAGTTCTACAGCAGAGATTTGTAAACATGTATCACTTACTTCTGAATCAGTAAACGTTAATTCTCATTAAGAAGCCGTCATAATAAAATGAATGAAATTGATATTAATTTATTTCGAAGCATCAGTCATATCAATTAATTCAAAAATTTCTCTCCACCACTTTTTATAGTTTTAAGGTGACAGTTTGTATATTCGGTGATTTTGTATTCCTAATAATTATTTTCTAGTTTAAATTCATTTTGTATTGTTTGTTTGAATCTTGCCATTCGTGTTTAGGACTGCATCCTGTTCATCCTGTGTGAACTGCATCGATATTGCCTTAAATCACAAGCATTACAAGCAAAGATGGATGGTTTCCAGCAATGTAATCCTCAAGCTAGGTAAAAGGATAGTGTGACTGCGTTTGAAGCGAACGGTACTGGGTTCGTGTCTCAGAACGAACATCAACTCTGAGATTCAGGTACGTCTGGCTGACGAGTTCAAAATAGGACTACACTGCTAGTCACCATTCATCTTTGCTCATAATGTTTCCTAGATTGATTTAAATCTTTATATTATTAATTCTACACAAATTATTATTATTAGTGGCTTTACTCAGTATTTTATTTTTAGTACAATATAGAATAATCAACACAAAGTATTTCAACAAGTTTCTTTCTCTTGTTACTTGATCAATCTTTAAGATAAATATTGAGTGGTTGCCAGTTAGATGTTAGCAATTCAGGAATCAAAATCTGAAGAATGTTTATTCTTTTCAATGGATATTGCCAGCAATCACAATGTCTCTGATCGTGCTCTTTTCCAACTTGTACAGTGAAACGCCATGAACTTTTCACAAACGCACCTGAATAGGTTATGCTACTAATAAGCATAATGATGTGTTAAAACAAACAAGAAAACAGATATCTTGTTGAAATATCCAGAATGCAGGAACTGGTAGCCCTGATATTCGAGCAGGCCGCCTTAAAGTCTTTCAAAATAGTCTTTTGTTAGGTTGAATGGTAAATACATTATTAAACTTCAGTGTTGAATTGATTTATTATAATGTACATATTTTAGTAAATGATATATGACAAAAGATTCATAAAAGTCTCTTAACGGTTTAGTTTGAACAAAACGTCAAGTATTCATGTTGCAGTACAAAGATTTTGGTATTGGTTTTATGCATCGAATATGTTAACTAATCATAATATAATACGGATAATAATAATCAACTATTATATCAGGCAAATTTACTGTATTTGAAGCTTTTATTAATATTGCATGTCTATAGTCTTTAGAAGAATATGAATACAGCTTACATATGTATTCCGTTACTAAAAATGTATTCTAGGGGTATGAGTAATTCATTTGTCACTTTTCATATCGTAACACTTGTTGATATCAGTTAGAAATTAATATGTGATGAAAATTAAATCAAGATTGCAGATACAACTTGATAGGGAACATTTGGCGACAAAAAACCAAGCTTCACGCCATCATACCAATTTCTTTCTATAGAGTAATACCATAATATTTTATGTATAATTGACAAACAGTAAGAATAGTACATTCATTGTAAGAAAACGCTGAAGAGTGTATTGTTCATTAAAATTCCAACTTACATAATACAAATAGGGATTTAGTGATGAGTTTGGAATTCTAACTTTCATTTTACCTCTCAATCCTTCCTTCAACTGATTGGACAATGTTTAATCACTGTTTCCATTATGAACTCTGCGAATGTATCTTAATGTAATAATGAATTCTATGGAAAGACTTAGGTTTATGCTTATATTCTTCGATTCATAGTCAACTTATGTCGAACATTAAGAGAGTTTAGACTTCCTCAACGTGAGTAAACAATGTTTTTTATGAGTAACTTGGTTATATTTATCGCGAATCACTTTGTTTCAGATTAGAAAGTGAAACCATATTTAATAATAAAGTCAGATGTGAGCACAAAATCTTAACATCAATAAATTGTCTGCTCAAAATGGCTTATTTAAATTTATTTAAGTTGCTGAGTTGATTTGTGAAAATCATCTAATATATTGAAACTAAATTAGAACAATTCATTGAAGTCTGTCACTTGTATTAAACACATGAAAAATATTGTTATAGAGATATAAATCTGAATTACAAAATCTCTACTAAAGACAAACCGGTTTCCGAAAAATGTCTGTCGACACAACTTTTGTGATTATAGTGATACAAATAAAAAGGATGCAAGGTCATATTGATGAAGCTATAATAATAATAACAATAATAATAATAATGAGATAAAGCTTCAAAATAACTTTAAACATTTTGTGTGGTGTTCGATTCCCAGAGTGAACATTAACTTTGGGATGCAGGTACATCCCTTGACGAGTCTCAAATAGAACGAAATGCGCGTCCTGGATTCTACTGCTAGTCACTATCCATATTTGCTTATATAGAAAATTATTATACGAATATTTTACCATTTGATAGAAATGTTAAAAAATGTCTTACATGAATAAAGATGTTCATGTAGCTTATCTATGGAAACAATTCCATGAGAAATGTCTATTCAGTGAAAGTTAATATGAACCATCTAATGCATTTTTGATCTATGACAAGCTTATAAGTAAAACACCTGGATTTTGATAAATATGTTATTAGTATGTTATAGAGATTGTTGAGTTTCATTCACATAATAAACCGATCAGTGTTAGACCACAACTGAAAACCTAGAAACTCTGTGTGGTCATTTTGTTTTAGTATGGGATTACTCGGCAGTGTGCATCCATGATTCTCCACGTAAGGCTCGAACCACAGATCTTTGGTCTCGCAAGAACACTCGACTTTTAGACCACTGAGTCGAGATTCAACGGTGCTAGTACCTAAATTCATGATTTCAGTGAAACCCACAACGCTATAATGATAATCATCATGTACTCACTAGTGACTACCTTCGATAGGTAATTCTCGAATTTCTAGTGGGAAGCCATTATTAGTGAAGTTCAACCGTTTTGGGTGTGAGACAACTACCATCGAAGACAATGAAAGATAGCCACTCAATATCGTGGATTGAGTGAGGTTTCAAATTAACATCTCTGAATGTCGGCTAAGTTGTCCAGATTTTAAGCGTTCGTGTGCCATTCAGGTGCTTTCAGATTTTCAACAGTGGTCTAACGTTCTGTTGCATGTTGTTACGAATTCAACTACGTACCGATTCCCTAAGCTGATTTGACTTCTATTTAGCTTGTATATGGGATATATCTGCAAAATATTTCGTATGATGAGTACCATATTCATGTCTCATAATTTCATGCAGACAGTCACTTTGTGTTTATGTACATAATTTATCAAGCACATAACAAATTAAAGTAAGGTGGTCTAATCTTTTTTTAAAGCTTATATACTTGGTAGGTGAAAGCAAATCGACAACATTTAATGTATATTGTTTAAGGGAAATGAATTGAAATTTGATAATCCTACATGAATATATCATTAGGAATGAATTAAGTTTGATTTTGCGTTTGAGATCATGTTACGTGAATTTTATGGGGTTCGAATTTGAACATAATATCATATACTAGATATATAATATTACATATTACATAATCAATCATCACATTCTTGATAATTTTGTAGCTTTGGTCAGTGGATGTTGCCATGAAGAGATGCAAAAATGTCATTCGGTTTTTCCTCAGTTTCACAAATCTAAGATTTTAGTGAATAAACTATACATTTATTTTTCTTAAACCTTCAAGTTCATTATTATAGTCATAGTAAATGAGAATCTTTGAAAAAGGTCTTTATTTAGAATCATCCTGCATACTACTACTACTACCACTACAACTACTCCTACTACTACTGCGCCTTTTACTCTCAATGGAGCATAGGCCGCCGAAAGGCATTCTTTAACCTATTCTGTCCTGGGCATTCCTTCCCAGTCGTATCCAATTTTTGTTCATTCTTCTCATGTCTGTCTACATTTCTCGGCGTAATGTGTTCTTTGGTCTTCCTCCCCTCCTTTGACCTTGACAATTCCAAGTAAGGGCTTGCCTTGTGACACAGTTGGGTGCTTTTCTCAATGTGCGTCCGATCTACTTCCAGCGCTTCTTCCTGATTTCTTCCTCCACTGGGATCTGGTTTGTTCTCTCCCACAGTACGTTGTTGCTAATAATGTCCAGCCAACGGATCTGAAGTATTTTGCGTAGACAACTGTTAATAAACACCTGTATTTTTTAGATGATGGCTTTCGTAGTTCTCCAGGTTTCTGCCCCATACAGTAGAAATGCTTTGACATTTGTATTGAAAATTTCGACTTTGGTATTGATTGACAGTTGTTCTTCAATTGTAGATATGCTGCTCCGCGCTTTCACATCTACATCAGATCCATTGTGTTTATCAATGATGCTGCCTAGCTATATGAATGTTTTTACATTGTCCAAAGCTTCTCCATCATCTGTGATTCGATTGGTTCATTCTATGTTGTATCGGAGAATCTTGCTTTTCCCTTTGCATAACATAATATCAAATGGAATTAGGATAGTTTTAACAAAATAAATTATAGTACACACTGTATATAGTAAAGTACAAAGTATAAATAAAACAATAATCGAAATTCTTGTTATGTTTTTTGTTTCCATATGCTTCATATGCTATGTGTTAGACAAAGAACAAAGTTCTAGTTTCTAATAGAGTTTTTTTCTTGGAATAAACAATTGTGTCGGATAACACTTATTATAAACATTGAAAACAATAATAGGGTAACTCTAAACTTTGCAAATTATCAAAAAAACACTTGAAATATTAAATAATAGAAAAGATCAGCCATAGATAAGACGTCTACATATATGAATTATTTTAATCATAACACGTGGAATCTTGATTATGTTCCATTATAATTGTATCGTGTTAACCTTATTAACAGGTTATATTATTTATAATACTTAACTTATTACCATTGTTTGTAGTGTTTTTATGGCAAAGTAATGGGATAAATGTAAGTATAAACTTTATAAGGTATTATAATCAATTATTTCCTATGTATTTAATTGAGTGCTCAGATTTGACCGTTTAAAAAGATTATAGAATTGATTGATCTGTATCGTATATTATGGGTAAATCTTTGTTATCTCAGGAAAAAACCTTTTTTAATTTTCCATTTAGATAATGACTGGGTTTTTAGAAATGAAAGATAGTTCTATTACTTAAATAACACGATAAAATTATCTAATCTATAATATGTGTAACTTGAGTTAGGTCATAGAAGGTCCAAATAAAACTTTCGGAGAGATTATACATACACATAAACATATATATGTAATAACTTAAAAAAAACATTGTTTACAAAGTAATGAATAATGTAAGCACATAGGGATAGTGACTAGCAGCAGAATACATGACGAGCGTTTTGTTACATTGGGGACTCGTCAGTTGGATATAACTGTATCCAAGAGTTGATGTTCACTGTGGGACTCGAACTCAGTATCATTCGCTTTAAATACCATCGCATTATTCACTTAGCTGCTGAATCCTGATAGCCACTCCATTGTGCAATGGAGTGAAGTTTAAATTCATTTGGTATTGTTTACTTGAATATTGACTATTGAGAGAGAAAGTTTTATTTTGAACGAAATCATTTACATTTGTATCTATTGTTGTATGGTAAATATATCTATAGAAGGATAGAAAATATTACATGATGAAGTGATTCTAAACTCTAATTATCAAATGAGGTTGCGTAATAAACAGAGGCTTAGATAAGATTAAAAGGACGAAAATGATGTACGGGTCAAAATGATGAAATATGATTGTCCTCTTGACAAATATGAAAAAAAAATAAAGAAAAATCTACACGATTATGCACTGCTGAGGCGTTGGCAATCTGCCAATTTAAAACCGAACTCTGATTGCAAATACTATATGCACGACCGCTCATCTATGACCCTAATTCCCTTCTTAGTATTGTTTTGTTACTATTAGTATTTTATAATCTTAATCCCTTGTCATTTATCATCATCCTTTGACAATTTTTCACGATTGTTATTATTATGACCCTTAAGAAGTTTTTTTGCTTTTCTTCATATCTGAATGGGGATTTATGGAGATTGTAGTCATTTTAGTAGATGAATTCATGAGTCCAGCTTTTCAATGGTAGTCTAGCTTAGATCAACTCATGAATTTAACTACTAAAATTTTTTCGTATTTTTCAAGCGAACAATCATCTTTCATAATTTTTACCCATACATCATTTTAATCCTTCTATTCTTATCTAACCCCCTGATTATTACAAAAACTCATTTGATAATTGGAGTCTCAAATCACTGCATGATAGGAAACTTATATATATATGTGGAATTAAGTGGGATTTTTTCCATAAATGACTTCAAATATCATAAAATTACGATCTATTAGAAACTATGCCATGTCGTTTATTAAAATCTTTTGAATTATTTATACAACATTCAATGATGTTTAAAATTCCTGTTATGTATTTCTTGTCTAGGCCAAATCATCTTTGAATATAGATGCAAACGAAATAGGTAAGTTATAAAATTTTCCTATTTGTAACTAAACAATATGTTTATCGTTAGAGTGTGATATTTGTATGGGAGTAGTATCTCTTGGAAAATTGTTTCTTGTGTCACCAATCATGGATAGCATAAAGAAAATGCTTATAGAAAAACTATGTTCATTACCCGGGATTATGACAAGAAGAGTAAGTTCAAGTTAGTTTAATTCTAAACATGACTAGTCATATATAATTACAAGTGAATTAAAGATGGTTTAAAGATATTTACCTTATTTATTAGTATGTCAGTAATTACTATAAGAGATGAAAGCGTAAAAATTTGGTAATTCTAATCATACAGAACCAGATGTTGTATTGCACATATTTCCAAAGCATCAGTAAAACTTGATAATTTAATTACTTAGGAGTGATTATTTGTTAGATGTTAACGTCTACCACAATTAGTTTGGGATTATTTCATATTTCATCATTGATTAACTAGCTATCATAATAATAAATAGCCGTTAAATGCATTAAAACATGTCACTGAATTTACAGTGGTTAAACATTGAAATACAGTATAATTTTGATGATTTCAATTTACTACCTAATAAGTCTTTTTTGTTTACATTAAATATATGATATCGAAATTCAGTATCAAAGAAGTAAATACTAACCACTGTGTAAAAACTATTGGTTTTTTTAAATTTATATACCAGAAAAGTGTATCTCATTTCTAATCACCCTTGTAAAGTTTTGTTTGGTAATGCCAATGTTATAACTTGTGACCTGTGTGCTCTGTTAATGTATACGTAATGATACCGCCAATTAGAGAGCAGTGAATTATCCATCGAACCAAGGACGCGTAAAACCCGTACGAGTAGTCTAGAGTACTCTTTGGTGCCGCTTCCTGTCTAGCCCAGTCAGTTAAGTCCAAAACACCAATCTCAGACTCTGAGATATGAATTATTTATTTCAAACATACTGGGTTTATATACCAGTCAAACAGACAACATGGTACCATGAAATAGGAAACAACATTTGTACAAGATTTAGCCAAATGATGCTGTGAATGTGGGACGTAGTAATTGATAGACGGGGCATAACTCAAGAATGTTAAATCTTATAATAATAATAATTCATAGGTCAAAATAAAGCTCATAATAAGAGGGACATGAATGTGTATAGTTTAGTTATGTTACAATTATACGATAAAAATATAAGTATGGTATTGATCCATGAATGGATCCAAAAAGTTACCATTCATTATGCATATCGGGACATAACAGTCAATTAATATAAAGTTTCGTTTAGACGAAGAAGTTTGCATAAAGATTAAGAATCCATTAAATAAACTGCCTAATAACATGGAGTTGAAAACGAATATATTCAGAGATTGAAAAACCTAAGAGACTAACATTTTTCATGCACAGTTTAATTGTATCACAAAAACAGGGGGAAATCCTTGGTCACTTGCTATATTTTATAAAATATACCTGTTTATGTAAGGAAACAGTAATAGGACAAAATATTAGCTTGATCCCTTTCTAAAACAGTGACGTTTCAGACAACTAATTGTAATAGAAAAAATATAATATTGGGAGAAAATGCCAACTGTTTTCATAATATTTACTAGCTAATATTCATTAGTTGTAAACATATTTATTAATTTCTTTTGTATTCTGATATTTCTAGTGTATTCGTTGGGGATATCATCAAGCAGACGAAATAGTCTTTCATTTCATAAAACAACGTTCATCAAAACCATGCAAGGTAAGTTCTATTTATTGATGATTAAATTAATCTCCTTTATAATTCTATAGAAAAGTATGAATAATCCATAAAACCAGATCATAAATTTGTACAGAATAATTTAGATATGTCGGTTAAAGAACCACCGAAAGCCACTAAGCTTTATCAGATTTTTCGGTCCTCGTACATTATTTGAACGTATATTTCTTAACCCTTTAGAATAATTTTCCTTTAATAGAGTATCTGCATATAAATAGAACTTATTTTCGTTTTACCAGTGTTGTCAACTGAATATATTCACAGAATACATAACTAAATTTTATGGAAGCATTTTATTGCTATCAAAAACTGTAAAATCATAAACTGAAGCTTGTGGGTACTTAAACTAATTATACACGATGTTCACAAATCCAAATGAATGTACCTCTTTCAATGAAACCAAAAACCCTATATGATAAAATCATGTCTTAGGAAGCTTAGAAGTGACAAGTAAATGATGAATTCGTACAAGTTAAGACCAGTTTTGTTAAAATTATGATGATAAGCTTTCTCCTAATAATTTTATAAATATCACATCTTACTGTACCTAATACGAAGACTATGATCTGTTCCTATTTATTTTTCTCTGAATAAAATGAGTTTGAAAAATTTAATTTCAACAATCAGTATAGGATTGTGAAGATTGTTGAATTTAGGTCGATATCGTGAATGAATCAACGTTAGACTACCACTAGAAATTTAAATGAACTGGACGGTCATTTCATCCTATTTGGTTAAGCATTCGCACGTGAGACCGAAGGTCTTGGGTTTGAGTCTCGAGTGCAGGAGTGTGGATGCGCACTGTCCTATACTAGGACGAGAAGATCGTCCAGTGCTTCCAAGTTTTCATGATATCAATATAATTTCAAGTTATGTGGATTTTCATGTTATTTTTATTTCCAACTACAGTATCTTTCGATGTGTTCAAGGAATATTTCTCAAACATTAACGGGTTGAATGCAAGTAAGTGTATAGTTACTATTATTTTCTTAGTGTAAAAGAATTACAAAATCGTTTATACAAATTTATTTCTAAAAGACTTACCCTTTTTACACATCAAGTTAATACATCTCGTTAGACTATAGTTGAAATTAATACTCATTACTTCCTAATATTATATTTTGGTAAATTAATGTTTTCCTGATGTATATGTATTTTAGTTATCAAAAGTATCAAAATTAAGACATTAATACTTCCAATTAAATACTGTTAAAAAGAAACCATTCAGAGTTAGTTACTAAAAAGTATAATTTTGGTGTGTGATATTGATGTCGACAGATATAAGTAGTATGTATCATCAACTCAAAGTGAAATGCTTAACGGCAAAAGGTTAATAGGATCGAAGAAAATAAAACGGGAACAGAGAATGATTGGTGTAGAAACGAAGGGACAATCGAGTCTGAGGTAATTAGTGGACAATTTGCAGATTAAGTATTTACTGTATAGTTCTCAGATTTGACTAAGACGTTCTGTATATTTGTGTTCAAATATATTTGGTTGTCCCCACCTATGTTCTCGTTTACTACATAATCAACATACAATCGTACAATTCAAGAAAGAAATTAATATAATGAGTACATTTAATAAACTTACTTATACATATTAAAAAGGTAAACTAGCTTAAAATTTAATAGAAACAACTATTTTTACTAATAAATATATTTTCGTCTTATCTCAATGACGTTTCGTGACTTGATGTATGTCACTTCTTCAGAGCATATAATTTTTTGAATATTTTTTTGTTTATTCTGAAGAAGTTGCTTACATTAAGTCACGAAACGTCAGAACTACAATTTTTCTATTCATTGCGATATAAAAAATATTAACTCTCTATCCAATGTCCAATTTATTTGAAATTATCAAGTCCAACCTTATTATTGATACTTATAAACTATTTTTACATAAAACTTTGTTTACGTTATCTGTTTGTAATAAAGTTAAAAGTAGGGAAATTTTACAATTTCTTAGTCATTTCTAAATTTATATCAGCTTAGATAAAATAGTTAAAATAGTTCATTTTATAGCGAAAACGTACTGGCTTGAGTAAACAAATATACATTATATCTACAATTTGGTTAATTTGAAAAACCATTATTAGAGAATGGAAAGAATTGATCGCTCACCAAAATTAAGGTCTCCCATGTTGTCTGAACATTCCATGTACCTCAATTTTTCTGGTTATAAGAAGGGGTATCAGCTTCGTGATTTCCAAAGGAACTCGGCTTTCATCAGGAGACGTTATAACTCTTCTAAATGAAGACCTTATAACTCTCAGGGTAGAATTTAAATGCTTGGAATAATATGTTCTGGACAACGTTTTTTTTGAACGAGCTAGTTTTCAACGGGTAGGAGTTGCTAACTTCATGTCGACCCCGCTGCTTTATCCGGGCTTGGGACCGGCAGTAGTTCCAAAAGGGCTCCAAGCTGAGTTACTAAACTTAAGAAATATGTATAAATTACACCTATGCTAATATCCCTGAATCTGGCTTGCCAAAACACTTCAATTGCTCACTTCCTGGTTCTAATTTGTAAATCATTTTAAGTCTTATGAAACTATATCTATTTAATTTTTGTATTGATTTATTTTGTATAAATAGATAGTTCAATCACTATCGAACAATCTCGTTAAGTTTGTTTTATGAACTTCATAAAATCAATCATTTAAAATGTGTTTGACATTCGCCTGTAAAAATAGAAGTCATGACCATTGAAGTTCAACCGGGTCTGTTATGTGATAGTAACTCGCTGATGACAATGGTGGATGTGTCGCTCAATTTTGTGGATTAGTTGAAGTTAGACATTAACACCGTTGGATGCCACCGGGCTCAATGGTATATTGGTTAAACGTTCACACGCAAGACTGATAGGTCCTAGGTTCAAATGTTGCAAGGCGAGATCGTGGTTACACACTGCTGTGAAGTCCAATACTGGGACGAAACGGCTGTTCAGTGCTTCCAGGTTTTTATGGTGGTCTAGTTTCAAATGAATCATGAATTCAACTATTACATTACTAATAATATCCACAAAACTCTACTCTGATTAAAAATAGAATCATTAAACTAATCTACATTAAACAACGTAATACATTCACTGATTAAAATTCAACAGAACGAATTAAGCTGTTCATTTTTATGATCAGTTTTGAGTGCCGTTAGAGGTATGAGAGCGGTTATCACTTCCCGGTTGCCCACACCGTGGAATGGTTCTTCTGGAGGTACCTGAAAAGGAAATTAGATTAGATGTGGTCTTGGTAGACTGAGAGCGTGATCGCAGTGCTCAGGGGACAACTGCTTCAGGTCCGTCACACACAATCTTTTTATGAGTAATTTCCGTGTTAGCTCAGTACTTGTTGAGACCTTACCACCGGAGACGGATATCCGTGGGATAAAACGTGGTGTGCACTTTTAGGGTCGACCTTTTCTAACCCCGTCCCTCTTTGTGGGAAGGCAACATCACCGTCATGCTAGTCGTCTGAAGGAAACACCTTACTGTTGTCACAACTCTGTACAGTCAGCAGTACGACTTCGCCTTCTGATCTTGTGTTTGTTGCTTTTAGTCTTACCGCTCTTCAACGGACCTGTCTGGCATGGTAGGACCTTGAGGAACGGTTGTTCCAGCCATTAAAGCTCGGTTGCTTCATTACGATAGGCAAGTCCGACGACCACGTCAAGGTAGCAACAACGGTCGGGATAAGTTCTCGTAATTAATATTTTATACAATAGGGACCTAAGACAACAATAATAACATTATACGTTAACATTGTTTAATAATATAAAAAAAAACTTTAAAAATACAGTCTATTAAGGGCAGGAGTTCATTAGTTTTATGGAGAAAAAACGAACACTGATAGCTATGTTTTATCGAACGTGCTCAGACTGAGCTCATAATAGAATTATTTTTTGATTTCATACGACTTTTTTCTTTACTACTTTTCTTTATTTTAAATATTCTCTTTCAGAGGGATGAATTTCAGTTCAATCATTTTCAGTAAATAGTTTGATATTAAGAAAATGGAAATTCTTGTCACAAAAGTATTTCTTAACTGAGATGTTAATATTACTGTAGATGATTAAATGTCCATATAGCACAAAAATAAGCCTATTTATTTTTCATTATGGGATTTAGTGGAGATTGTAGTATTTTTACAGTTGAATTAACGAGTTTTAGTAAGAAGCCGTGATTACTGGAGTCTAGTTCGTGTCCGGTGTGAAATAGTTATCTACTTCAGACAATGGATGAAGGGCTGCGTGAGATCGTGGATCGATTGGAGTTAAACATTAATACCGCTGGATGCTGGCTTAGGAGTCTAGAAGTTAAGTGTTTGCGTATGACATCGAAGGCTTTGGGTTTGAGTCCCGTGTGTGGGGTCGTGGATGTACACTACTGAGGAGTCTCACGATGGGACGAAATGGTCGTTCAGTGCTTCCAGGTTTTAACGGTCGTTTAACCTAGAACTATTTATTTGTATTTATTTATGTTTGAATGCTTGAAATGAGGCAAGTAGATGTAATAACAAGTTATAGTCTGTCAAATGGTCAGTAGGTTGTGAGCAGTAATTACAACAGTACATTTGTTGACAGTTAATAATCATGAACAATGGGATTTATTCACTGTTGATTTTGTTGTTACGTTAAGCTAATTAAGACTACCTCACTATTACATTTTCTAAACACTGAGTAATGATCAACGTCTTGTGTATCAGGTTCTTTAATAAGTTTAAGTTTGAGGTTGTGAAGGTAGCCGAATTTCATTGAACTTATGAACCGACTTATGTTAGACCACTGTTAAAAACATGAAAGCACTGGATGTTGAATTATGAGCAACATTATACCTTATTCAACCTCACGTACACTACAGTTTAATGTTAAGTGGTTGGAATTTGTCGATAAGATACATTTAAGTGGTTGGCTGATTGATCAGAAACTTAGACCTATGGTTATACACTTATCTTCAATCACAATGCACATATCACTAGCTATCACATTATCAATATCGGTTATATGAAACTAAGTTAGTTCAATGTTGAGCAAGGAGGAAAACGTTTACATCAACTGAAAGGAGAGTTTAAATCTTTTGTACAGAGACTCCTAGTGAACGAATACTACTAAAATATCCAACACTAACAAGTAAAACTTTTTCTGTTTAAACAGTGTAGTTACGGAAATGAAAATAAACACTGAGAGAGAAAAATTCCAAATTAATCACTCTATCAATGTTGTGATCAAATAGAAAACGCTCCTTTCAAATGAGAATATAGAACTCATTGAATAATATACAATCAAAGGTTCAAACAGTAAAGTTCACGTGAAAGTTAAGCAGTAAGAACAAGAAAATAAACTAGATAACCGACTCGCTACATTAAAGAAGGGCGACTACGCATTAGAATACACCAACCGTAAAGTGGTCGAATGTAGCCCTCAGCGGTGATTATCGTAAAGTTTCAAAGTACAACACAAAAATCCCCAAGAAATATAAGGAACTAAGCAGATTCAATAGAGATAAATATCATACTCTGTTGCTAACCAGCTCAATCATAATAAGAAACCGAATGATAAGTAAGATAAAACAAGGCAAAATCTCCTGATTTTTCTTTTCAATTCGTGACAACAATAGCATGAGGTCATGGAATAATGTAACGCTTTTATTTATAGATGACACTGTGTGCATGGGGCGAATTTCAGTGGATATATTAAAAAAAGAATGTAAATCCATAGTTTGTGTAACGGGTTTGCTAATATATTTATTCTCATTATTATAAAATGTCATACATATAAATCAAGATTAACCAAATTCAAAGGATAAAATAAACCCATCCTACTTCAAGGCTTCTCGTCAGCTGCAAACAATCATTAGTTAAAGAGTAATGTGATTGGAAATGTTGGTTTCAAAAACTTTACTTGGTGAGATCATGTTAGAAGTTAAAATAATGATTTCAGGCAAAATTTTTGTTGCTCTGTGATCTGATTCTAGATGAGAAGGTTGCCTGTTCGAATCACATCAGACTCACCACTTTGGTGGCTTGTATTCTGAGTACCTGTTTAAACGAATGAGTGAGTATACCATGGACATATATCTTCCGTTTAACTCCGCATATTACACCTAGTATAATCTCGTTTGAGTGACAATGGTAATAAGAAACCAAATACGGATTAAGTTGGATAGATTTATTTCATAATCTAGGTTACTGAAGCACACATTAAGAGGAGAAGCGAAGCGGAGAAACCAAGCATCCTAACTCGTTCGTCCATTCAAATAGGGAGTCCAATCATGGGTCGTCAAAAACGAAATGAGGTATTTAAAATGGTTAAAACATGACACTATGTGTCTAGAAAAGATAATCAAGGTTGTTGAAGTTCATAGTTGTATTGGTAAGACTACCTAATCAAAAGAATTTGTATAAACATGTAAAAGAATAAAAATTATATTATCGTATTGGATACCAATAAGATTATATAACATCAAATCATTTAATCACAAAGAGAGACTTATCATTATTACATACAAAGCACATAGGTCGGATGACGAGTGTTTGAACTTAACGGATTATGTAAAGCGGATTAATAGTAACTTTGTTAGTCATTGATTATTTTGAAGGGCAGTGATTTTTGTACTTGTTGTGATTATACTTGCTTTTGGTACTTATTGCACTAAAAAGCATTCTTGGTCTACTTTAACTAAGAGTTCTTTGGTTAAAGTTTGAAATTTTTTGCTACATTTTGTCCTGGGTACCTGTTTTTAGTCCTTGACTAAGACTTGTGTTCACATTGTTATCGTTTTTTTGTTTTTAAACCTTTTAAATCGAATTACAATGGTTGGTAAGACTCACAAATGTGGGCAACCAAATTGTTTGTTCTCCGTTGAGGAGGGAATGCAGTGTGACGACTGTAAAAAGTGGTATCACAAAATGTGTACACGACTAAGTCCGACGGCATACAAAAGATGCTCGAAGCCTAACTCGCATTGGCTTTGTGTGTTCTGCTGTACGGATAAAAAGGTACTAATACAGGAGTCTATGGGCCTATTGGCTTTGGCCTGCAAGAAAAACGATGGCGGAAGCACTGATAACAGGAGTACTGACGATGAAGAATGTGTCAGTGTAGTAAGTGCTGCTACTGGACCCATTAAACACCTGACTGCGGTTGACAGGAACGTGAAATCTCCGTTGACATTAACGAGAAATGAAGTGTCGCCTGATATTGACATCGGCAGTCATACACCTCTAGTCGAAATAGAAGATCCGGATAAAACTGTCACCGTTCCACATAGTCCAGGTGTGGCTGTTCTGAGTGGTGACAAATGGACTCCGGTAAGAAGAAAAAAATAAGAAGAAAAAGGCTGTAGGCAAAACGCAGCTGGTCAGCAAGATATTGGAAGGGACTTTATCAGAAGAAAAATCCTCACCGCGTGAAAAGACAGATCTCTCTGAGAGATCAGTCATTTTTCATAAGATAAGAGAATCTTCAGACAATGAACCAAAGGCAAGGTTTGAACATGATCTCAATCATATTAAGACATCATTAAGTAAACTACTCCCAGATAAAGTTTCAGGAGTTAGTATTTGTAAGCTTTATAGAATAGGAAAAAATGTGGATTCCGAAAGTCCTCAGAAAAACCGCCTCCTAAAGGTTATATTCAACACGGTGGAAGAAAGGAACCTGGTTCTAAGTAATTCACGCAAACTGATTGGATCCGGAATATATGTCCATGAGCACCTCAGCCTAGCTGATCGTATTAAGAGAAGGGCTGCAGAAGCGGAAATAAACGAGCGTCGCCGAAACGGTGAAAGAAACCTCGTTCTTAAGGGTTTTCAGATTGTAAAAGTTCGGAGCAAAACGATCCCCAAGCCACTCTGGGTGGCAAGTGAAAGCTCTCCACAGACTTAAAAGTGTGCTACACAAATGCTCGCAGCCTACTAAATAAAATGGCGGAGCTGAAGTCATTGGTGGATAAAGAAAAACCGGACGTTATCGCTGTCTCGGAAACTTGGGTAACGTCAGAAGTATTAGATAGTGAAATCCAATTGACGGGTTTCATAACCAGTAGGCCTGATAGATTAAACCGAAGGGGAGGCCGGGTTATTGTGTACACGAAAAGTACCCTAACCATAAGATTAGCTGAGACAGTAGCACATGTTTCAGGGACATGTGAACTGGTGAGATGTAAGTTGAATTGCCGAAGGCAAGATATTGAATTAGTTGTAGTTTATCGCAGTCCAGAATGTGTAGCAGATGATTTTCTCCTCAGTAAACTTAAGTCCTGGTGTAACAACGGTAAAAGCCTTGTAGTAGGCGACTTTAATGCACCATATATAAACTGGGTTAACTTAGAAGTAGAGTCATCTATATCGTCGTTCGACTCCAAACTGTTAGAAACCTCGATTGAACTAGCATTATTCCAATACATTAGAGATCCCACAAGATACGACTTAAGAATCTCTTCCTCTCTTTTAGATTTAGTCTTCACACACGGTGAGGACGTTGGTCAAACGGCTTTTCTCCCACCACTTGAGAGAAGTGACCATGCAGTCATCTTATTCAAATTCATGGCTGAAATTGCTTCTCAAACAATTGCGCCGGCCCGTCCTAACATATGGAATGCAGATATGCAGGCAATTAACTCCGCAGCATCGGCTGAGAACTGGGAAATTGACTCAAAGGCATCAGTACGAGAGGCATGGACTCTATTCAGACAGTTATACAATCGGGTAACTCAACCATACATACCCTGGACTGTCCCAAAGAAAAAGAAGCACGGACATCCCTGGTTAGGGCAGGTTATTCGACGCTTACTAAGACAAAAGAAGAAATGCTGGGATGTTGCCATCCGCCCTGGCACAGCAGGTACGATGGAACACTACAGATCGATAAGAAACGTGTGTATAACTAAAATTCGGGAAGCGCAAAGAAAATATGAAATGCAGCTGGCAGAATCTGCACTGAAGCAGCCCAAGAGGATATTCTCGTACA